GGCCTCAAGTATATGACGAAGGTGCACAGCACAAGTACTCATTCGCCGGGAAAAGCAATCATGACTAACGCGCACAGGGTAAGTACCCATGACCACGCAAAAAATATATTAAAAATGTTGCCAAATACCCACGGTGACGAACACAGCAACTCCATCCATCTGGCCCACTGTGTGGCGGGTGGACAGGGCCTGTCCGACAGGCACGCCAAGGCACGCACGGCCAGGGTAAAGGGTATCGCTGCATCGCACCGCCAAATCTAATCTCGGGCCGCCGCATGGCCGCCACCACGTGTACCTCGGCGGCGTCCTCGGCGGGGCAGGGCGGGTCGGGGGTTCCTATGGTTCGCGCACAGTGGGCCAGAAGACCGGTGGAGGCGGCCAAAACTCTAGACGCGTTTTGAGCTCCAGAGTCGCTAAATACGACTCGAACCGAACGTGTGACCCCACCAATGGATTGATCTCCGAACGAGGAATCCATTGGCGGGGTCACACGTTCGGTTCGAGTCCCATTCAGCGACTCTGGAGCTCGAAACGCGTCTGAAGTTTTGGCCGCCTCCACCGGTCTTCTGGCCCACTGTGTCGCGTGCGGAGAAGCGCGGCCCGGTTGTCCTCAACCCGGGGTCGCCGGGTAAGTTGTGGGACAGCTGTGGTTATGGTGGGGGGAAGTTTAGGGTAAGTCATGGGTAAGTTGAGGGCAAGTTATGGGTAAGTCTCGGGCGGGCCGACGCCGCGGCCGACTGTGCGTCGCGGCACGTCTCCGGCTCGTCGTCATAGTCACGGGCACCACCATGAGGACCATGCGGACCGATGGTGAGTCATGGATGGAGTCACCGTGCAACCGTCACCGTTGCAACATTTCTAATATATTTTTTGCGTGGTCATGGGTACTTGCCCTGTGCGCGTTAGTCATGAGTGCTTTTTTCCGGCGAATGAGTACTTGTGCTGTGCACCTTCGTCATGGGTACTTGGGGACGTTCTTCATCGCCATGGGTGCGTGCGTCCTCAGCGAGCCAGACGCCAGCCCCTCGGTCGGGCAACTCTTGTCCGTCGTTGTGCGGTAGCGGCAGCCAGCTTGCAGTGGTGCGGCTCCCATCCCCCTGCCCCGGGAAGGCGGCAGTTATCCGCGGGGGTCGGGGTGCACGTGGGCCAGAAGACCCGCGCAGGTGGCCAAAAGTCAAGACGCGTTTTGAGCTCCAGAGTCGCTAAGCAGGACTCGAACCGAACGTGTGACCCCACCAGTGGATTGCTCTCCGAACGAGGAATCCATTGGTGGGGTCACACGCTCGGTTCGAGTGCCATTTTGCGACTCTGGAGCTGAAGACGCGCCTAGAGTTTTTGGCCCACTGTGAGTCTCGCCCCGCGGAGAATAAGTCGTGGAAATGTGGCCGTCCCTCACGCGGCCCGTCGGCCGGGCCCTTCGCCCTTCGCTCTGCTTCCCGATGCAGCGGCACACAAAGGGACGGCCATGCGGGGCTGCCTGGGGCTGCCTGGGGCTGCCTGGGGCTGCCTGGGGCTGCCTGGGGCTGCCTGGGGCTGCCTGGGGCTGCCTGGGGCTGCCTGGGGCTGCCTGGGGCTGCCTGGGGCTGCCTGGGGCTGCCTGGGCTGCCTGGGGCTGCCTGGGGCTGCCTGGGGCTGCCTGGGGCTGCCTGGGCGCCTGGGTGCCTGGGCGCCTGGGGCTGCCTGGGTGCGGGTGCCTGGCTGCCTGGGGCTGCCTGGGGCTGCCTGGGGCTGCCTGGGGCTGCCTGGGGCTGCCTGGGGCTGCCTGGGGCTGCCCTGCAGGCCGGGCGCGGGGACCACCCGCCCAAACAGAGAAAGAAAACGTCTCGCTTCTTGCATCCTGCAGGATGTGCCACCTTGATGTGATGCGTGGCGCTTGCCTTCCGTTTGACCGACGCCGAATGTCTGAAATGAATTGGCGTGGGTTCGAATCCCGCCGGCGCGTGCGTGTTGTTTCTTTCTTTTTTGCGGCAGGGCGCTCTCTGTCTTTCCCTCTCTCTCCTGGGGCAGCCCCAACGCGGCCCGCGGTGTGGGCCACACCACTGCGGGAATGGCAGTGTGCGAGTGAGACAGACGAAGATGCCGTGAGTGCGATAGAGTGCGATAGAGTAATTGCCGCCATGCAAACACCCTTAATGGCTGGGGCCGTGCTGGCTCGGCTCGGCTAGCCAGTCATCAATTTATCGGGACACGATTTTTGGCCCCCACAGTGGGCCAGGAGACCCGCGCAGTTGGCCAAAACTCCAGACGCGTTTTGAGCTCCAGAGTCGCTAAATAGGCCTCGAACCGAACGTGTGACCCCACCAATGGATTGCTTTCCGAACGAGGAATCCATTGGTGGGGTCACTCGTTCGGCTCGAGTCTGGTTCAGCGACTCTGGAGCTCGAAACGCGTCTAGAATTTTGGTCGCCTCCTGGCCCACTGTGGGCCCCTCGCTGTGTCTCCCTCTCTGTCTTTCTGTCCGCGGGTGACCTGCATAACCCAACCTTGCCATGCATTCATGATTTGGCGTATTGACGACCCCCTCCCGGAGGGCTGGGGCTGGGGCGGTCACGCGGCTCGGGTACGGCCCCTTGCGGCAGCGTGCGGCAGCCCACGCCGGCCCGCCACGTCCATCAAACTGTCTAGGATTGCCATCTTGCAGTCCCTTTTTTCCTGCGGGCTGTCACGTGCCCCTTGTTGTTGTTGCTGCTGTGCCGCGGTGTTGTTGTTGTTGTTGCCGTCGTCATTGAACGGTCCTGCCTGCTGCCTGGAGTGTGGAAAACTGCATTGCTCGTGGAGTAGACGTGCCCCGGCGGCCGAATCCAGTAGTGCGTTGATTCCTGAGCGAGGTTGATGGAGTTTGATGCCGGTGGTTGATGCTCGACCAGTGGTTGATTCCAGCGGTGCTTCTCTGACCGTCGCTGCCGAAATGATTATTCAGTGTCCCGCCAGGCCTGAGAAAGGCGATGTCGCGCCGCGAAGGTCAGGGCGACGACAAAGTGGCTTCCTGGGCAAGGCCGCTGGCAAGGCCGTTGGCAAGGCCACGCTCCGGTGGGGTTACCGGCGACCCCGAGAGCCTCGTAGAGTCTCCTACAGTGGCCCCTAGAGCGCGATATCATTCTGTTTTATTTTTAAAAAGTACCTGCCAGTCGCGAAACATCACTGGCACGATAGTTGGGGCGACCTGCGGCGCGCTGCGCCAAGGTTGACATGGTTGGAGTTCTGGTGTGCGGCTGTGCTTGGTGTGTGTGCGTTCTCTCTAACGAGGACCCGAAAGGGCACGTTGTCGCTCCACCTGTCGGCCCGAAGGGCGCACAGTGGGCCAGAAGACCGGTGGAGGCGGCCAGAACTCTAGACGCGTTTTGAGCTCCAGAGTCGCTAAGCAGGACTCGAACCGAACGTGTGACCCCACCAATGGATTCCTCGTTCGGAGAGCAATTCATTGATGGGGTCACACGTTCGGTTCGAGTCCTGTTCGGCGACTCTGGAGCTCAAAACGCGTCTAGAGTTTCGGCCGCCCCCACCGGTCTTCTGGCCCACTGTGGGGCGGTCTGCCAGTGTGCCGGACGGTCTAGTTTGGGGCGTCACTGTCCGTCCGGGTGCGGCAGCGCGGCGGCGCGGTAACGTGCCCGAGTTATGGCTGCGGACGTGTTTTGCCGACGGGAAGGGGGAGGGGGTGGCTCTGCTAGCTCTGCTAGCTCTGCGGATGGAGTCACTTAGTGTTGGGGTGGGGGTTGCTACACGTGGCTCCCGGTGGCGCCCCCGCCCCCACCGCCCCACGCCGCCACCCCCAGGAAATGCTTTTCACACCTGGAGGCGGCTGGCCGTCGTGCGCGCGGCACATTGGGACTCCGCGGCCGCGGAGCAGAAAGCAAGCAGCAAAATGCACGATTGCACTGGGAGCGCTCACGCGGTGGGGTGGGTGGTTGCCGTTGACGTTGCCACCAGGCAGGCGCGGGGCCAGTCGATACAGTTTGGTTTTATCGCGGGAATGGTTGTCAGCGCGCTACTGCGCCAGTCAGTGTGGGTGGGCATGCGGGTATACTCTGGTCGTGGTGACCTCCCTCCAGTGGCGGCCCGCCGCGGCCCGCACTGCACTGGGTCAACAGGTCAGCCCCGCTGCTTCGCTGCGGCACTCGGCGGCACCTCAATCTAGAGGGGGCGGCGCGGCGGCGCGGCAGGGGTCTTGAGAATGGCCCGCCTGCCGGAGGGGCCAGTTGGCCAGAGCCAAAGCGCGCCAAGGCCGGGGGAAGTCCTCGTCCACACGGCGGAGGCGGTCGAAATCCCGGACGCGTTTTGAGCTCCAGAGTCGCTAAATGGGACTCGAACCGAACGTGTGACCCCACCAATGGATTCCTCGTTCGGAGAGCAATCCATTGGTGGGGGTCACACGTTCGGTTCGAGTCCTGCTTAGCGACTCTGGAGCTCAAAACGCGTCTAGAGTTTCGGCCGCCTCCACCGGTCGCGAAAGGGGACGCTATGCCCCCCCCCGCCCCGCCCCCCGCGCTGAAGCGTGTTTTCAGTTCAATCACCCTGTCACAGCGTGTCGCGCCGTGTCCCGCCGTGTCTGGCCCGGAAGTGATTCGCTGGTCGAGGCCAGTTCCGGTCACGCTTGCCCCGCTTGCCCCACACCGCGCGTGCCAACGTGCGCGTCACGCTCACTTTAGCACATTGTCGCGCGTCGGCAGACCACTGTGCAAACTGCGAGCTAGAGCGGCTGTGCCGCCAACCGAAACCCTCCCCGCGCAGTGGGCCAGAAGACACGCATTTTGAGCCGCAGAGTCGCTAAATGGGACTCGAACCGAATGTGTGACCCCACCAATGGATTGCTCTCCGAACGAGGAATCCATTGGTGGGGTCACACTCTCGTTCAAGACCCATTCAGCGACCCTGGAGCTCAAAACGCGTCTAGAATTTTGTCCGCCTCCTCCGGCCTTCTGGCCGACTGTGCCCCGCCTCTGAAAAAGACGGAAGAATGTCGGGAGTCGAACCCGCGAAGACTGACTGTGTGACTGTTTCAGGCGTCGGCCGAGCGGCAGGTGTCGTTCGACAACGGGCTGGACGGCTCGGTGGCCGAGGACTGCTTCTTCGCGATGCGCGCCCTCAACGAGGGCTACTCCTTCGCCTTCATCGAGGGCGAGATGTGGGAGAAGTCGCCCTTCTCCATGTGGGACTTCATCCAGCAGCGCAAGCGCTGGCTGCAGGGCATCCTGCTGGTGGTGCACTCTAAGGCCGTGCCGCTGCGAGCCAAGTGGCTGCTGGCCATCTCGTGCTACTCGTGGGTCACGCTGCCCCTCGTCACCTCCAAGGTGGTCCTGTCGGCGCTCTTTCCGCTGCCCTGCCCGGCCGCCATGAACATGCTGTTCGCCTTCATCGGTGAGTCTCAGTCAGTCAGCCAACGCTCAGCTTCCTTTAAAAAAAAAAAAAAAAAAAATCATTGTAATTTTTTTTTTGTGTTTCAGAGGGGATGAACTTGTACATGTACATATTTGGCGTGATGAAGTCGTTCTCAGTGTACCGGTTCGGGGCGATGAGGTTCATCCTCTGCATATTTGGAACGCTACTCATCATTCCCTTCTCACTGGTCATCGAAAACATTGCCGTCATCTGGGGCGTCTTTGGCCGCAAACACAAGTTCTACATCGTCAACAAGGAATTCCAGCAGTCACCTGTCATCGAGGCTTGATCCAGAAAGCTCCTTCTAGAGGCCCTCGTGGAATATGAGGGGATCTAGTCATATCCTAGCCAAAGCTGAATGAATGTATTACCAAAGTAGTGTTAAAGTTTGATGGAAGAGGATGTGAATTCTGAATGTGAATTAATACTGTGGGAAAAAAATGATTTCCTTACAAATTGACTCATTAATTTAAGTCGTGACCAATAGCTCTAAGGTCAGTGCACCAAAACCCAACTTTTAAGAATAATGTAGTAAAATTCCCTATTTTGTATCTTTGTTCTTGTGAGGTGGTAATATGTTGGACCAACAACGCAAAATTGTGAAGAAGTGTTATGCTGTGACTTTGTGGAATTATCGGTTTGTGTCGACATAAATATACTTAAAAACAGGATTCAGAGTGTTAAGTTGGTATTTGACATTTCCTTGTATCATCATGATCAATATTCATGTATCATAATTGAAACATCGAATTTTGTTCTCTACCATTATGGTGCTTTGCAGAGCACTCAGGTTAATTTGTAATAGGGTGCAAGTTTGCCGCTAGTCAGTGAAATATGTGCTGTCTGTGATCTCAGGTAAACTTTGAGTTTTTGACCTATTTCAATTTAGAAACCTTGGTAAGATGTTTTAATGTTTGAAAGTATTAGTTCAAGCAATATGTCTCCAATAATTTCTTTGTCAAAGTGCAATCGTGTGCAATCAAATTTCAATTAGAGTATCTCGTATAAAAGTTTGGTGTTTCTTCATGTTATGTAATATGTAATTATCACATCTGTGCAGCTTTTTAGCAACATTTTTTTGAAGCTTTTTTGCAGGTTTTGAATGAACACAGTTTTGAAATAGTATAAAAATCTCATATACTTGTAAAATTTAAAGTACTCTCTTCTTTTAAAAAAATATGTGTAGTGGGGAAGTAATGCTTCCTCCCATCTTTGAGCAATAGCTTTTGTGTTTGAAATTAGTGGAGCTTTTGAGTTAGGCTTTAATGTTTCCTCAGCCTAGAGATGACAAGAATTTTTCATTTCATTTGCTTTCATTAATTGTGTGATAAGATGTGGCTTTTGGATTCCAAGCAGTACTTTATTTCTGATATTACCAAATTCTGTGACTTAAAAGTCTGTGATGATTACTAAAATGAGCTTAATAGTTAAAATGTGTACTTAATAATTGTCAGAAACACTTCACTTCTGAAAGACACCACAAGAATGTGAATTGGTTTTGTCTTGAATGTTGAGTTGAGGCTCCAATGACAAGTTAATTATGTAATATAATATTCTGTGTTTGTTGTTTCTGCTTCAATTCAGAAGCTGTGACCAATCTTACTGTGGATATGTTACTTGTACTTTCCGTCAATTCTATCATGTGGGTGGTGTGTTTATTACAAAAAAGATTGTGAGTTCATATATGAAAATTAATTATTTTTTTTGAAAATTTACCTGTAGTAAGAGAATGGTTGTGTATAAGTTCAAGGTTCGATTTCTATCTTTTTTTTGTTTTGTGTGTGTTTGTTTCAGTTTTAGGTCAGAGCTCTCTTATGACACCTCAATGTTTATATGAGGTTCAAAATGTGGCCTGGATGGAAAAGTGTAAACATGAAAGAGAATTATGGATTCAGCAGAGTTCCGTTAATTCAACCTTAATTTAAATTAAAATTGAGATGTTTCACAGAGGTTACCTTTTTTTTAAATGAGAAAAGGTACAAGACCAAACAAATTTATCTTCTTGTTAGTGAAACCAAATTTCTTATACACTTTCTTTCCGCAACTTTGAAAAGTTCCTTTGTCAATTATGGCTAAGATTCTGAAACGTAATGTGCACAACAGTAAGTCTGCTTTTTAATCTTTTTCTCACAGAATCTGTATTCCAGGACTAGTTCTTGAATAAGCGCACGTTAATTCTTCTTTTTAGGAAACAGTCATTTCTACTGTCATAGCAAGACTTCAGGCTTTACTGTTAAGTAGGTTAAGCTGTACGGTCTCTTCATCATTGATGGTTGTGTTTTTTACTTTGCTTTTTTGGAGTGTCTGTGCCAACGGTGGCAAGCACTGCTGGGAGGAGTAGAAAGTCCTTTTCTTGAAAGGAACACTACCTAACTTGTTGGGGCTTGATGCCAAATTTGCCCTCAAATGTCAAAGGGCTGCCCTGTGTGCTTGCCTGTGTGTCCTAAGCACTTTCCACAATTCAGACAAAACTCCTGTGTTGATTTACTTTTCCTTTTCATGCAGCACAATAAGTGCTGGTTTGATATCTTTCTTTCAAACAGACATATCTTGTTGAGTCGATTGCATAATTGCTTAATTACTACAGTTTCGTAGTAGTTGATGTGTGCTCGGACCTCCCAGTGTACCCCTTATTAAGTACTGTACCAAGCTTTCATACAGTTTTAAGGACCAAAGTACAAAAATACTCACAATTTGTGTAAGTAATGGAGTAATATATGTTCAGAAGACAAAAGGGTTTAAATGATAACAGATTGTTTCATCAAAAATCATATTTTTAAAGGGATCCGAACTTAAATTAGTTTTCTGAATAAGTTGCCAAAGGTTTTTAACCAACGCAATTCCTTTTATTGTAAACCATCAGACATGTTGGGTTTTTTTTTGTGGTATATGACAGATCTCTCTTGCTTTTCATTTTTCTTAAGCCTAGAAAAAATTGTTACTTTTGCCAAATTTAGTTTTGTTTGCACAGAGCTGACTTCTGTGCTTTTTTGGTCACTGGGTGTTACAATTTTTTAATCTTACTACTCTTTACTGGTACTCAGGTGGTTGAGTGTGTGTGCCCAACTGTTCTCGCATTTGAAAACATTGGTTTGGACTCAATAGTGCAAAGGGTGAAAGTTTCTCATCTTTGCCTTTCTTAGAGAGTTTGCTGAGAAAAGGTATTTTGTCTCCGTCTCTTACACATGTGTCTAGTCAGCCATTGAAACTTAAAAATTCTTTAATTATTATAAAGTTATGAACCAAATCAGCATGGAACCACGCTTTCTTAATTACTGCACAATAATTGTGGGTACTTGTATTATTATTATTTCTATCATTATTTTTAATATTTTTTCAGGATTTTCACTTGCCTCCTCCCCTGTTTTGTTCTTACATGTAAAGACAATTGTTTTAGATTTTTATTTGTTTTTGGTGAACTGTTGCCTTGTATCCAGGGTAGTGTGTTACTAAATAAGGGTTAAAAAATAAATTTGCGGCTTATCTTCGATTGCTGTTATCTCTTCATGGGCTCATTGTTGTCTAATATGAAATCCTAAGAGGGATTTTAAAACACAGTTGCATGAATGTACATTCATAAAATATTGATAGGGTTTTGTTACTGTTTTCTTTTCAATGAGAATTCACATAAATATATTTATATACTTACTATATAGCACTGTTTATATGTTTGTAGCATTTAATTGTGTAAGTGTAATCGTTTTGGTCTTATGTTCTTTAGTAAATGATCAAAGTATTCCTTCGAAAAGCTTCATTTCATTCTGTAAATAACTCTCAGACATCAACCATGAAGGAGGATACCTCTAGTTTAATTTTGCCATTTGTTTTAGTCACGTTGCTGTAATTTTGGATTTTTATGTGTCAGCGGGAAGCATTCAGAGTGACCTCTTTGTTTTGTATTAATGGAACGACTGAAGACCTTCCTCTTTGATGCTTTTACTGGTTGATGTTTTCTTCAAACTGTCTTGAAATTATTTGCTAAGTAGGCTACTTGTCCTGGCTCAAAAGGCACAATGACATTGTAATTTCTTGTTTGATTCCACCTTTTATGGGTACGTGTAAAGCGTTTTTATTTCTAAGTTTTTTATTTAATAATTTTTTTAATAAATAGTGTCAAATATGAAATTTTTACCCCTGAAATTTTTACCCCTGAACATCAACTGCCTCAGACAGAAAGCATGAGCATTTTACATCAATTTATAGGTTCTTTATTAATGGTGCCGTGAAGGTACAGCACCATCGACATGTTACTGTGCGTCACTCAAGGATTGATCCCGTTACTCAGCATTACAGATAGGATGAATGCCTGGTGGATGACATCTGAATAATAACACAATTATGCAAGTTTGAATCAGTTCAGATGGAAACATTTATTTACTTGCAGTTATGGTGACAATGTGAACATACAGAGCAAGAGCTTTAAATATTTTTGAACCTTTACCCTCTTGAATTATAAATAAAATTTTTGTTAAAGTTAATTATACAGTTCAACTCTAATGAACAATTAATATCTATATTTGGTTGAGTAATCCTTGGGGGAAACTACCAGACCACGTCCTTTTCTGGCACCACGGTAAACTGTTTCGACAATATCAATCATTTCTTGTTTATCATCAAGTGGCCAGTTAATCTTGTTATTATTACCTGTCCCCAAATCAATCATGATATGCTTGTTTCTGAAGAAGAACATCACTGTGCATGGATCGTACAATTCATACCTGGAAATAAAAATTTTAAGTAATGACTTCATTTAAGACAAATTTAACTTTGATAAAAGTCTTATAAGTTCACAGAAACTTACATTTTGTTGAAGTCAGGTACTGCTGTTATATCAACAAGATAGAAAACAGCATAATTTTTAACCTTCTCTGCAATACTGTACAGGACTTCATCCATCTTCATGCATGTGGGATCCCAATCATGACCAAAGCGAATGACCTGCAAAATAAAAGTCAGTAATGCATTACAGAGAGGCAAAAGGTTTACGCAGCTACACAGTACTGGGTAAACTCATTGACACTTACAACCACTCTATCTTCTTCCGATAAAATTGCTTGGTCTACTTGCCACCCATTGTGAAGATGAGCTAACATGTACGACATGATGAGTTAGATTAATCCTGAAACACAACCGTTTCGTAAAGACGAGTCTTTGTCGATGTCAAACACAGAAGGAATCATAACCTTCATTAGCAGACCGTGTGACTTATTTATCACATTGTGGCAACAAGTATACACCTACTCGAAAACTCACCCGAAGGACACCTTGAGTAATGTAAATGCACGTCGAAAAGGATCAAAAAGGATGCAAATGTTCGAAAAATATTGAAGACAGCTCACTGTTCTGTCAAAGCGTTTCTCAATCGTTGTTGTTGATATTTGTGGGACCAGCCTGCGAATACGGTGTGACTGCAGACTAATCCGCTATAGGCAGTAAGGCAGGTGCTGGATGCTGGTAAGCTGGTGAGGTTACGAAGTAAACGAAGTTTGATACTTTTACGAGGCTTTCAAAGGAAATGACACCACCCTGCCTCAACCCTTGTAGAAAAACTTAAAAACTTGTTCTGTTAGTTGACCTCATGAGCACTGCCACATCATTTTAAGCGCCAGAAGTAAGAGGAACTTGCCGATTGACATACTACACTTTAGTTTATGGATTGTTCTTGTGGTTTATTGTCCCTGGCCCTGTTTCAGATTCTTGTAAAGATGATTTTCTCAAGACTCTGCATATGGAGGACCTCATTTCAGACAAGGGGGCCCCTGCCAAGTTGTGGCTTGACCCATCGACTTAATGTCAGGGAAGACTTAAAGCTGGCTCTTCGGCCAAGTATCTTGTGTCGTCTAGAATGCAACAGATCATTTTACATTACTAACAATTTTCAAGCAATTCGTCCTCAAGCAAATCATGCGAACCTTTCTAAGACAGACCAGTTCGTTCGTTCACGGCCTCGTTTAATGAAGGAGTATGAGAAAGAGAAGAAAAAGGACAACATGCCTGCTGGTTGGGAATTAATATTCACATCCAAAAAGTTCAGGATTTTGCTTTTTGCAGCTCATTGCCTATCGTTTGTAACCCTTTGTGCGACTCCTTTTATTTGGGTTTATGGCGTGTTAGACGCAGCAGACGAGGAGGATGTTGTATTGGGTTCTGTAAACATCTCAAAGGCAACAGAAGTTACCTTGTTTCTTCTACTGAATGCTTTTATCATGATTGTCATCTTTAAAAATGTACTTTCTGTGCCAAAAAGAATTTATTTTAATGAAAAGACAGGGGACTACACAGCTTTATGTCGATCATGGTGGCCATTTTCAACAGTACGAAAGCAATTCAAAGCCCATGACATTAGGCCCATACCCTTTAGAATAATTCCTGTCCAATTAAGATTTTTTAAGCACAATGATTACATTGTTTCAAATCGGAGACTCGTTTTCCCACACTTGTCTTTTCGTAATGGGGAAGATAGACTTTTGATGTTGCGCTTTGTAGAACTGTAGGACTGAAGTTTAACTATATAATGTATGTCAAAACATTATCAATAAAAAAAGTAAATGAAAAAGAGTCTTTATTCACATAGAAAACAAAATATCCAGTACACACCTGACAGGAAAGGCTAGGAGGATATTAAGTAAGGAAGATTTGAAAAATGGCCTTATGTACCGAGACAAAAGTAAAGTAGTTGCTTCAAAATAAAAAATTGTTCAAGATCTCAAAAGTTTTAACTGGTAAATTAAATAATCCCATACCAGAGCCAAAGTAAATTAAAAACATAGAGGATAATGACTGAAAAGAATAATACAGGACACTTTTACCATAACTCACATTCCATGAAGTGAGGAAGGGCAAACAGTTAAAGAACATCGGACTAAATCTCTCACAAACATAGAACAACTACAGAACCAAAAACTTCACATAATGGTTAAGATCAGCAGTAAAAGAATTGGCATGTATTAAAAATATCAGCAAAATATATGTATTCCCTTTAACGTCATAATGGAAGCAAACGTCCGTCAAAAGGTGATCCCACAATGGGTCGGAAATTATTTTCCTCAGTCTAAGTTTGGGCAGACCGAGTGTCAGCTGTCAGGTGAGCAGAGGTGTCTGCCGCGCTGAGAGAGACTGGGGTTCAAATCTCAAATATAACAAAATTTTCCTCAGCCGGACTGAACCCAGATTCTGCTCTTAGTGGATGACACTCACATTTTCCTTTTTTGTTTGATCAGGCACTCCGCCCATTGAGCCACCACTGTACAGTCAAGCGCTGTGCCTAAACCACTGCTCGACCGACCGACCCATTGTGAGATCACCTCAGTGCCTAACTATCTCAGTCCTCATCATTTTCCAGGCTCATACACATTTAAAAGAGTTAATAGTAATAAAATAGCATGACTGTATATAGAGATACAACATCAAATAAATAATCTTGCATCAAAAACTTAGATTTAACATGTTAAACAAACAAAAAATATAATTAAATACTTAACAGACAATAGTATAAAGGCAACTATAGAATGTTGTGATATGATTTGGTTTAAATTGATATGTGGCAACAATTTAAAAATAGAAAGAAAAAATCCTATAATATAAAACACAACATGATATAACATTTAGTCCAAACATAATTAAGATCATTATTCTTGTATCTTTGGTCAAATAAAAAATAATAATTGTCATTCCTCCTTCAAATAAACAATGAATTATATAGAGCTATGACTGAGACAGTGTTTCATCATTCTTGGAATCAGTCACACTAGAGATTAAAATAAAATTCTTAAAAACGACCCACAATTGCCATGTGCAAATAAATATCATCAGTATGTAAGAAAGCTTAAAACATACTGTACTTGCATTGAATATTATCTAATGAGCATGCACACATTGACTAAAATGCTAAGAGGCATAGCTTGATTCATAAGTTAAGTTGCACCAAGACAAGTGATGTTAGAGAAGATGTTCCACATGCACACTGTCTCACAAAACACACATAATAATATGCTACAATGGTGGTGATGATGGACTGTCTGCCTTCAATCAGGAGTCAAGGAGGGCGACAGTTTGGTCATCCACATTCGGCAAATTCAATGATGGACTACTTGGCTCCTGCTTCAGAAAAAATTAATGATAGAAAAAGTCCTAAAAACTTACTATACATACAGTATATAGTGGAATAATTTGACACTCACCTGAACATGGGTAATACTAAGGTGAATGAGCAGAGTGGCCAGTTCAAGATCTTCACTGTATCCATTTTTCAGAGGTACACTTCGAAATCCGGATTTAAGAGCCTGAACCTAAAGTGATTGAGAGAAAAAAAATTCAGTCACAACATTTTGAAGAATGGTTTGAAGAACTGACTTTTAAATCTCATACTAACTTGGTAGGTAGCTTGTCCAAGAAAATGTGGATCTCCAAACATATCCTCATCTCTGACTTCAAAGCGCAAAAGAGCATAATTGGGATTTGCAACTTCAAACTCACAATCTGTGTTCCATGTTGGATTTAAACCATTATCTGCTGATAAAAAAATTCAATTTATCACAAAAGATTAAAAAATGAATTCCTGAAAATGACTAGATTGTTTTATCACAGTTTTACTCACCAACAGGTTTGGTAGTAAGTTTGATGCCAGAGTCAAAGTCAGCTCCAATCAACTCAATTTCTACAAAAGGACTAACAGAGGAGCGTCCTGGCCGAGTCAAATGACGGGCAGATAGAATTCGAACATGAAGAACAACAGGGTCAACACCTGACAAGCGGCTACGCTTACTCGGGTCAAAATCATTTGAAAAAGTGAAATCAGGTCTCAAAATGTAGCCACAGTTGCCATTAATCCGAAATTTAGCCTGGTTAAGCTGCATACTTTTGTCTGAAACAAATTTTGTTGATCAGCTTTTGCATTGATATGGATTAAGTTCAAATCAATCAATACCCACCAGGCTTTTGGTAGTTTAGCGCAACCATCTGAGTGCCCATGTTCCACAAGGGTATTGGGTCAGGATTGGAAGAGTCGACTCGGGAACCTTTTGGATAAACTCTGCTGAGTTGATGCTGAAAGATGGGTGTGAGTGTAAATTCAGCCTTGTTTGCATAATTAGTTGTATATATTATTGTATGTTACCTGGTGGTATTTAATAAAATAACTTCTTCCCTTTTGACAAATGATTTTTTCAGCTTGAGTTTCTGGGAAAGATGACATCTCATGAATGTTGAAAACCATACGGTCGCTGGTTAGTTTGTCTGTGTTGAAGACAACAGAACGGCAGTACACAGCAAGGTTTGACATTTCTTTAGCAATTCGAGAAATGCGCTCCATCTGCTTGTTTTTTGCTTCATCAGCAGAGGCATTCTCTGCAGCTTCTCTTATGGCTTGGTGCCATCGGTTTGCATCTTCCAAGCTATTTGTAGCCATCTCAAACGGAATGAGCATGTTAGGCCCCTGAATACGTAGAATGTACCAAGGGTTTTCAACATGTCCATCTTGCTTGAACTCTACTGTGGCACCAGTCAAATCAATAGGTCCTGCCTGGCTGGTTTCTGATGCCACTCGAGTCTGTAATACATGATTAACAGAGTTATCTTGAACCATTCATGAGTGCAACTGAAACGGCAAATAAGCACCGCTACTCACTGGGTGTTCACAGTCCGAATTGCCATGCAGCTCTTCAACGTAATTAGAGGGGAACATGTGCTGCCTTTTCCCACCATAGTCACCTCGCCACCAGCCTCCTTCCACCCGGCGCACATTGGTAATGATGGCGTGCTTCGGAAAAGACAACTCATCATCATGATGGGCTTGGTAGTCAAATAATGCCTTCACAGTAATCTGCAACAAAGGACCAATTTATTATTCTTGCAAAAAGATAAATCCTTGTTAAAACAAGTGGCCAAAAAAAACAAAAAAAAAAAAAAAACAGGAGGCTCACCACCCCTGATGATGTGAAGCAGCTAGGGTCCATGTATCCTGGTGTGGTGTAAACATTAGCACCATCATCCACATTCTGAAACAAATTTTATGTTCCATTAGCAGCAATTACAATAACATTTTACACAAGGTGGCTTCTAGTAGTGGAGCAACCGCCACCTGAAACCGGCCTACTGGCCCCATCAGGACGTCAGGGGGAAGTCAGAGAAGATGAAAAGGGGGGGGGGGGATTTCCCACGGGTACAAACGATTAGCGGCCACAAGCGTCTGCAGCCATTCGTTGTTCGCTGTGGCATCCGACTCGAATGTTGCAAAACGCCGAGTGCCGACACCATGCCCGTGATGCCGCGGCCCTACCGGCCCTGCCGCCCCTGGCAAGACAAGCCCTACTTAAAGGCAGCAGCGATCGCGGCGTCTGCTAGACAACCCACGACGCCCTGGGTGGAACAACAGGAACGGCCGGGCCGGAGCAGCAGCAGCAAGCAGCAGCTCCCGGACCAGAAGCATCCACTCGATTCAACTTTTCCGTGTTGAGGTAGCAATGTTGCAAGTGTTGATGAGCCTGTCCATTGCGACTCAGTGCCTGACCCAGATTGTCCCAGAGTCAGAAAAGGAGTCTGCCTCATCTCACGTAAGTCCCATCTACGAGTTTAAAATTAGGAAATAGGAACCACAGCAGTTATCTTTGCTCTTCCTCATCAATGTTGCAGTATGGTCCAACCTATCAGTTTAAATACCATGTAGATGACTTGACAACTATGGACTTCAAAACACACGAGGAGATTGGGGAGAATGGTTCGGTGCGAGGGACATACACAGTCCGTGAACCAAATGGTGACCTGCGAGTAGTGTCTTACACAGCAGGGGATAGCGGGGGATTCCAGGTAAAGCTTGTAAAACTATAAATTTGCCTGGATTTAGTTCAACATGTTCTCTTGTTTCTTCTTTTAATAACAGGCAATGGTGCGAGTGAAGCCAACAGCCTCTGCAGAGCAAGAATCAGTGGTAGCAGAGCAAACAATAAATCAGACCGCTGTCCCTGCCAAGAACTCAAAAAACCTCATGGATGCACCTCTGAAACTACAGCTGGACACAGGACGCCGTGTCTATCAGAAAAATAATCGAGAGCAGAGACAGAGCAACCCTTCAAAGCAAGGCAAGATAACTGTCCTACCTGGGTCACTCCACCAAGAAGAAATGATCTTTCCTCCACCAACACATCAGAAACCTCAAGATGTAGGGCCCAATACAACTCAACATACCAGACAGGTGAAGGAGAAGGAGGACACACATGAGACTACTTTAAAACCAAGCAAAAGTACAACAACCCTATATCAGGATTCCCAAACTGCAAACAACACAAAAACACAACCAAATACAGAAAAACAAACAAAACCGAAACTTCAAAAAGGAATTCTGCCAAAGTCCAAAAGAAATCCAAATCAAGCTCCAATTTTTCTCAGCAAGCAGAATGTAGCAACAGCATATCTGCCATACCCTGTGAGACCAATACAACAGGGTCCCCACTATGGACACATTTTTGCACCAGTACTCCTGCATATATTGCCTGCCTCAACCCCCAGTGATACAGATATTATTCACCCAAAAGACAGCCCTCCTGCACAAAGCTCAGAAGCTGGACAAAGTAATATTGAGCCTGCTTTAAATAAAAATGAAAACAAGCTCTGTAGCACAGAATTTCAGTAGTGATTGCTACATCCTTTAAGAAAGTGTTGTTGAATAGAAACCTTGATAAATAAAACTAGCCCAAACAACATACTAAAAAGCCTATTAACTTACTGTGCCATTCCTCCGTAATACTTCAGCACTGACAGCCTTTCTAAGTTTCACTCGATGATACAAGGGATTCCTTTCATAATAACTGACCAGGTCTACCAAACTCTCAAATTCTTTGGAGTCAATAGTATACAGTCGACCTTCTACTTGGATACGGCAGGTCTTAATAACTCTGCCAACCCTGAAAAGCAATAGAAAAAGCAGTTATGATAGCACTTAATAAATTTAATTACTCCGTATACTTGGTTCATTAGACATACGGCAAATTCACATACCGAAATGAGAGAGCGTAGGTGTTCGCTCCTGAGGGACGAACTAGAAAAGCACCGTCGACAGGAACTCTTCGCAACATATCCTCAGCTTGAGATCTAGTGACATTAGGATGAAACCACTCTTTGCCTTTGTGTTTCATGGGTTGGGGAACTGGATATTTTAATGTAATGTGAAATTCCTAGAAATGAAACGGCCATGAGAGTTTACTAAATTAAATGCCCTCACAATGCAGGGACCTTCACAAGTACATACCTGACTCTTCAGTGGATGAGAGTGGTAGTGGGTGATGAGGTCATAAAGGTTATCAAAGCAATTCATTTCAATGAGATAATATTTTCTTTGACCTTTCTCTTGCTTTGAGCGAATACGACAATGATTCACTTTGCCTTGCCTCCAAAAAGAGAGGGAATAATCACCAACGAATGTCTCACTTTCCCGAACCAGGAACGTACCGTCTCCTAGGTGGGAATGTTGATGCAGCAGATCCTCTGCTTCAGCTCGGCCTCGAGCCAACTTGCCATGGAACCAGTTTTCACTGAAGTGTAGCTCGTCATTTGGTACACCCTAACAATTCAAAACATTCAATGATATTAAATACTAATCCACGCTTAGATAAGTTATTAGACACACCATTGATCTTGCTACCTCTTTCTGTCGCTGGAACCCGGCAGGCTGGTCTTCTTTGGATTCTTCATCGTTATCCTGCCAATCTTCCGATCTGCCTTCTTCTTGGTTGTCCATACTTTCGGAAGGGCTGTTGTCAATGCGTATCAACTTGTGCTGTGAGAGCATGAAGAAAAATTTCTTCCACTCTTTATCAGCAGGATCCTCCACATGCAAGTATCCCTTGCAATTAGTATTACGGAGGTCTGGTTCAGCGCCTTAGACACACAAATACATATGTCAGTTTCACTGCTTCAATACAAATGCACCAAATCCCAAGAAAAAATTTATCAATTACCATCACTGCTATCTTTTGGCACAACAAATGATGTTTCTTCAACACCATCTGGCAGTTTCTTATGTTTGATCAAGATCCGCCCTTTCAACCTTTCTGGAGACGGCAATGCAGTTTCATTCTTTTCAACAGGCTCTGTTAATAGCATATCACCAAAAACTTTTTGCATAGCAGCAGCCATGTTTCTTTGTTGTGGAAGAGAGCAATTATCTTCAATAGATAATATAACAGGCCACCTGTTAAAAAAATAAACATTAGCTTACTTATCTCAACCAATACAGAAGGGGTTTACAGCTCAACTTCTTACTTTGATGTTACAAAGGCGTGTTCCTTGATCGTCTTGATTACATCAATGAATTTGATTCGTTTTGTGAAAGTGTGACCATGATAAATGGATGGCATTCCCTCAGGCCCGTCCCAGCAATCCAGTTCTATACAACGACAACCCATACGTAGACATCTGACATAGGCCTCAACTGAGGAAGGACTTGAAAATTGGTCACCAGTCAAGTACCTGAAAATGAGTAAAACTAAGATTAGAAAAAAATGGGATAACAGCAAAAGCAAAATCTAAATTTTTCCTTCTTACGTGTTGTGAGAAGAAGCAATCCAGTAATGTGAAAGGGGGCGATTCATGTCATGTGTAACTTTGTTGTGACTAGAATCCCATAAATCATTTTGTTTGCAGAAGAGAAAGTTCATAAACTGAAAGAATTAAAGCATGTTAAAAATGTGGATGTTTCATTAGTTCGCACCATCATACCAAAGAAACAGCTTACCTCCACTGTGGTAAAATAGGGCTCTTTGACCTCCCTCTGAGAATCTCTCAGAAAATCCCTCATAACTTCCGATACCCATTTTGGATTTTCAGCATTCTTTTCATGCTGTTCTTCTAGAAGAAATCTTTGGAAATCTTGAATGGTTACACAATATTTACCTCCTGTAAGACTTGTATACTTCTTGAAGTGCTCATTGAAGAGCTAAACAGAAAAATTTTATGATGAATTCAAAAAGTTACAGTACAGAGATTTTAGTGAAGAGAACCACAGACCTACCTTTTCATCAAAAATTAGTTTATGGAAAAGAGAAGAAAATTCATCAAAGCCTAATTGAGCACTGTTTCGTGTGTCAACTTCATTGAAAAGCTCCCTTAATCTTCCAGTTGGTATCTTGCAATTTACTCGTCTAAGAAATGCTTTCATATCTTTTAGAGTAACTCTGTCAAAAAATAAGACGAAACTTAAACATTATTCTTCACTAACAAACTTAAGCATAGAAGATCATTACATACTTTTCGCCTGGAATTTTGTAAATTTCTTTGCGTAGAAGAGTATCTACATGCAGAGGATAGGGTGAATTTAAAGTGTCGGCCAAGAGGTATTCTAATGCTTGTATCCATGTCCTGCACTCAGCTTCTGATGATGCTGCAAACATGTTTTTTATTTTTTTTATTGCAAGAAAAATGGCGAGGTCAAAATTAAAATTTAATTTAGATCTTGATAAATTTAAAATATGGAGAATCAGGAGAACATACCTGCTATGGACAATGTTTTCAAATTGAACTGAGAACCATACAAAATTAGAAAACACTGGGTGGCACTTTTGTGTTGGGCTTCTTCAGGCCACATTTCAAAATCCTTTGAACTCTTTCCACCTCGAATTTCTTTAACTTCCCACAAGTCAACTGATGATGAGATGAGAAATAGGATATCAGAATTCATCAGCCCCCAATGTAAGTGCCATTCTTACGATAAGAAGTCATTTTTCTTACCTGTGTTTACTGCAGACCGAGCGGTTGACCATAAGACTTGTCGAGTTTCTCGTCTTATCTGGAGAGTTTTGCTTTCTGGTTTGCGTCGGGGAAAAAATATGGTGACAACACAGCCCCTCTCCAGTTGGGAGATCTTATGTTCCATTTCTGAGATGGTACAGATACCGTTAGGTATGGACATCATCTTGAAGGTTATTGACTGGGAGGAAGAAAAGAAAATTTCAAAAATTAGCAACTTTAATAGTTGATAGAGTGAGCAACAGGGCAACTCATACTATGTAAATAAACACATCTGTGACAGTTTCTCCAAAAAGGGCAATGAATGGACAAATTTTTGAGCATGGACTAGTTGACAGATGTTAAATCCTTAACAAACACAATTACTCTCACTTTCACAGAAAATTCAAATGGAAATCAATGACATATGCTTCCACATATGTCATGTCATCACAAACATCCTGTTTGGCAAGTTTCCAATCCCAGAGGTTCACAGCTGATTGGTTGTGCCTTTGGGTTGGTCTATCAACTAAATAAATAAATGCCTTACATCTGCTCTGAAGTGCGACGTCAATTCATAGCTAGGCCACTACCCCAAATATCTTCAGGTCTCTGACAAACATCAACACTAACAACACAACCAAGTAACCTACTATATTTGTCTCACTGGAATGTCAGCAAAATGTTCCAGAATGGCAGAAACCGCCCATCGTACCTTCCAGCCGGCGTCTATCAACGAAGTTAACGAAAGACTAGGACTTCATTCAAGTCCAGGTCTGCTGTTTCAAGCCGAAAATCACTTCGTTTGCTTGGGTATGTGGAGCCACATCCTGTTGATTCGGTGATTGATGCAGAAACCCTTAACCTATGTTCTGCGTGTTACACAGTGTTACATCGCCTCAAGTTCAACACGACTGAAGTCACTCAAAGGCAGACACGCCCACCCAAATTATGTGTGCGATAGACCGAAATCCACAGACAATTAGCTTCATTAAAAGCCCACTAAGTGAAGCCTTACCGATGGTCCACTAAGATAAACAACACCGCTGATTTAATTAGGCATTCTGTCATGCTGTGAAATTAATGTTAGGGAAAAGAAGCTTTTTGCTCTCGGTGTTCTCAAGAGTTAAAAAAAGCTGGGGAATGACCGTAGAAACATCAGAAACTAGCAGTTTCCTGGATTTGTCAGTCAAGTATGAGGCAACAAAGCTGCTACTGAGGAATGCAACAGGCTGAGAAATTAATTTTTGGCGTTGGCAGCACTGTTGACTTATTCGCACGTCAAATAAGTGGTAAATTTTGAACGTTAGTTCGTGAAGAACTGGAACTCGAGTTGCATAAACGATCTTTATTGCAAGTTGGAATAGAAACATCAGTCAAAACTCATTTCTAGCTAATTGAATATAATGCAATCTAAGTTTTTAAAGGAAACTGAGGAGAATAAACGTGCTTCAAATTGGACTGTTTTGTTTTCTTGTATGATACTTGGAGAGTGCTGCAAGGTAAAGAAAAATATTGCATTAATATCTTATCTATTTAAAAAAATTAATAATTGTAAATGATATGCAGACGAACCTGTTTTTAAATGCCAAATTAGTTGATTGAGGCCAATTTGTATCCATTGCAGCAACAACTTCAACAGGTCGCACAGCTCCAAAGAAGTCTGTTATAAGGACCTTATCTGGATTTCTTCTAAACAGGTCACGACGGACTCCAACAGTTGAGATACATAATCTCTTAGGGCATACCTTTAACTGAAAAGACATAATTTTCTGATTGAGTATGTTAAATAATCGAGCATGTATGCTGATACAAATAATTGCCAAGTCTACTAACAAATTCTCCCAAAGTTTTTCTGCTGTCTGGTTCAACTCTTTCTAAGAAGTCGAGAGCGTAATATGTATATCTGTCAATAATGTAGACGCCTATGGCAGGATCAACATGATGCTGCAAAACATAATCAACCACTTAAAAAAAACTTACAAACCAGAATTGGACAAATAAAACATTCCACAAAAAATGTATGACTTACAGAAAGTGAGTCTTCACCAACAAGACTACTTGCAACTGCTAAAACATTTGGTGAATACATTTTATCATACATTGATGATGCTTGGCATGTGTCAATTACAAAAAACATTTCATTGTACCTAAAGGATATAGGAAAATGTTATTATTTCACTTTGACAGCAGAGTTCAAATTTTGTCCAGGAAGTTCTAGATACACACCTTCTCTTCTGCCACATTTGCTCTACAGCATCTGCAAGTTCCTGGCTTGAAATTTCTTCAGAATCTTGGAACTTAAGAAAACCATCTCCACCATGACCAGTTAGATACACCAAAACATTGCTGCCCTCATCCGACAATAATTGTTTTGATCTTGGTGTGCCTGGAGGCAGGCGCCCAATCAAAAGGCGAAGAAAATTTTCTACAGTCACCTGAAATGAAAAATTGGCAACAGAATGAAGTCACAGAAATTTAGATAAGTTATTTTATTGGATTCAAAACCACTCACCTCATAGCCTCTGTAATCAACTTCAACATCATCTCCGTACACATTAATATGCTCATTGGCATTGTTAAATACTGTGGCTGGCCGGGGATTGCGTAGGTTGCATGGCATGTCATCAGCAACCATCAAAATAATTTGACTACAGACAAAAAGTGAACTGTGTTAAACAAATTAAAGCCATTAGGAGCGAACACGACTGGAAAGGTTGTTACCTGTCTGGTATACCGAGCCGTTTCACACTGCGATATATTGAGAGGACATTTGCAACATGACGGTAGTTGAACCAGAAGCGGGATGTATCAACTAGGACTGCCCAATTATTGGTGTGAGTCCCCTTTTGAAAACCCTCTGGTATCTGTTAAGAGGAAGATAAGGACATTGCTTAGTTCAGAAGTATGTTTCACCCAACAGCATTCAAAATGTTGAGAACAAATCATGGCAGGAGAGAAAGAGAAGCACTACGAGAGAAATCACAGCATCAAGTTTGATGGAATTGCAATTAATAACCATTTAACAGTCACAACAAAGTTTGTTTTGACAGCTCCATAACCTTAGCCCCAACTTACTCTCGAATCAATGGCACTTTCGCAGGAGTGTAAAGGCACGAGGTGCAACAGACAACAAAGGGCTAAAAAACTGAACATGTACGACATATTGTTGACTTTATCGGGAGACGAGGTCTTAACTGAAACTTAAAAGAGCGATGGGGTGGCTGTCACTCCCTTCCACCGCCGGCAGTCGCAGTCGGCAGTTCAGTAGTGCGAATAGGTGATAGGTGGTAGGGCGGGCGAAGGGGGGAGGGGGGAAAGGGGGAGGGGGGAGGTGAGTATGTGTACTATTGGCAGCAACGTAAATAAACTCGCCCAAGCACCGCACCGGAGTAATTTAGGAATTTACTCCATGGAAGCACAGACATGGACGCCAAAGAAGTGAAGCGGATTTTGAAGGAGGCCAAGGAAGCCATCAAGCAAAAGGACTCTAAAACAGCGGTCAAATTGTGCAAGGTACAGTGGGATCATGAGGACCTAACCTCAGCGGTGCAGTGAATTGAGACCAGCTGACATTATCATTTTTTCGGTGTGTGTTACTTTGAGTAGCGTCAATGTGATATAATAATTTTGTAAGTCAGTCTGTTGCAAAGCACCAGGTTACTGTTTCATAGCATGCCATGAAGTAATGACAGAACTGAAGCTAATGGCCCTCCTCTTTGTTTTCTTTCCAGTCGGTGCTGAAGGAGGACAAGAACAACTATGTCGCCCTCGTGTTGTTTGGGGCCTCTTTGCAAGAATCAGACCAGCATGAAGAGGCACCCAAGGCCTTCAAGAAGGCGAGCGAAATATCACCTGATCTACCTCTGGCGTGGCAAGGACTTGTATCCTATTTTGAAAAGCATGGCAAAACTCTCAACACTGAATCTGAAACAGACCTTCTGAAAGCTTACACCCATCTGATACCACTTGAAGCGTAAGACATTCTAACTACTTTTTAATGTTGCAATATGTGCTCTCTTCGCAGTTTGTCTTATGTCTCCCACTCTTTTCAGCGACAACTTGAAAAAACAGGAAATGACTATGAAGCTTGCTGGACTAGCTGTTAAATTACAATCCGCAGCAGAGTGCTCATCTGTATTGTCGAGGCTGCCAACAGACAAGGAGACAGCAAGCACCATGCAGAGGTGTCTTGTCAAAGCCCTTCTTCAAATCAAAGATCTCAAAGAGTCTGACACATCTGTGGTGTGTTTCTTCTTTATTCTCTGTTGGCCTTCAATGTTTTGACTTGACCCTGGCGACATGCTTTGTGATTTGTTTTCTTTCCAGCTTGCTGAATCATTAGAGTGTATTGTGTCTGACTGGAAGAACAATCGAAAAGGAAATGACTATGATATACAAGATTTCTACCGTCAATTCTTAAAATGTTTGTATCACTCTGGGGAACATAAAAAGTTAGTTTATGAAGCTCAAACCATGGCTGAAACATTTAGCAAAGACCCTTATCCTTTGGAGTGGATTTGTAAATTGTGGGTGGAGTTTGTTGCTGAGGAGAAGAATATTGGTTTATTGAAAGATTCAATTGACAACTATGTGAGTAAGCTGGAAGTTGTCGGACCATCAGCAAACAGTTCTATCTACATGGCCAGGGGAGCGAAATATTTAGTTGAGAAGGAACTGAGCAAAGCAAGAGAAGAGCTGACTAAAGGTGAGTGAATGTTAAAGTATTTGATTGGTTGAACATAGCATGTTATGATACTGATACAATATTTCTCTTAAATTTCTAGCTGTTCATACCAAGCAAGCCCCCTGGCAAGTTTATCTGCTGCTGTCTCATATTGAATTGAAATTTGGGTGTGCTTTAGAGGGTCTGAGCTTGATAAATGATGCTAAGAGCAAATTGAAACAAGCTACAAGTGAACAGGAATACTTACTTAAAAAATGTGAGGCAGAGGCTTTGACTGCCACTAAGAGTCCAGAGAAAGTAGAAAAAGCAATACAACTTTGTGATGAGGTAAATTGCTGCAATTCTATCTCTTCTTTAAAAAGTCAACTCTCCTCTTAACTAATAAATGTTTTACTTCTATAGCTCTTAAGCACTAGGATGTCAGATGAGGTTCTCCATTTGATTCATGCAAGAGCTTCTATATTGTTGACACGTTATGAAGAAGCTCAAGTGCATCTCACCGAGATTGCTTCTCCAAGTTCATATGCTGCTAAAGTAACACTTCTGGAAACTCAAATTGTAGCCCTATCTGGTCAGAAAGCCCAAGCTGCATTCGTTCTTGAGTCTCTGGCTCCAGAGGCTAAAGACTGTGAGATTTGGTTGACACTTGCCAAACTCCATTCGGAAATAGGAAAAGATGAAAATGTCTTAACTGATTTAATGGAGGTACATAGAGATGTTTGCTTTAAAAAAAATGCAATATCCCATATTTTTAATTTTTACATTTGAAAGTTATTTTTTCTCCTGTATTATATCAGGCTGCTCGTTGTGAACCATATTTTTGGGAGACCTTTATGCTCCTGGGGAATTACTACAAAGGGTTGTCTTCTGCAGCAGCGCTGGATAAAGCCAGACGGTGCTATCAGAAAGCCTTGCAGCTCAATCCCAAGTCTGTGGAAGTTGGTAAACACCTTAGTGATGTCCTTCTCCTTCTCCATGATGTTGTAAGTATTTTTATATATTTTAAGTAGGATATTTGTTTCTATCTGACGTTATTTTTGTATTTTTCTGTTTTTCAAATCTCCCTGTGACAATCTTTTTTTTTCTTTAAATAATAGGGTAGTAATATTCAGCTGCTTGACATGTTGACTCAAGCGAGTAATGCCAAATGGATTTGGCTTCGGCTGGGATTACTGCATACAGAAAGTGGCGAGGTAGAGAAAGCCATCACCTACTTGTGCAATGCTGTTCGCAGTGATCCTGCAGACTGGTAAGATTTGCAATATTGCAGTTTTAGAATAGTGAATGTAGAGCAATATTAATGCCATGGTTCGATTTTAGTCGTGTTTGGGAAAGCCTTGGTGATGCGTATATGTTCCGCGGAGCTTGGCATGCTGCACTGAAGTCTTACCAGAAAGTAATGCAGTTGTCTCCGGGAAATATTTATGCTGCTTTTCAAATAGGAACTGTTAAACTGGTCAGTATTGTCCATTACTAATTTACCTTCTATTTTTCAGTAATAAGTAATGTAGTTTCAGTTGGACTAATATACGTTTCTTTCTTTCCCAGAGGATGGAAGAATATGAAGATGCTCTGGTTGCATTTAGGCAGCTCTTAGAATTGTCTCCTGATTATGTACCTGCATTGCAAGGTCAGGGCGAGGCAGCATTTTGCTGGGCTCAAGTATTAAGAAAAGAGCACCGTCTAGGCTGTGCCCGAGATCGATGTCAAGAAGCGATTGATGCTCTCACCAAGTAAGTAAGGAATGAATTCCACAATTTGAAAGCTTATCTGTGTTAAGGCTTTGAGTAATGTGTCCTTTGCTCCAGGGTTTTGAATCAGCGCAGAGATTTGTCTTGCACTTGGAAACTCCTAGGTGATGCCTGCCTTCTAGGAGCTAAGCTACCAGCTTCATACACAAACTTTCATTTGACGGAATGGCTTGTCTGCCAAGGTGCAAATTCTAGTGGTTCAAAGACTGTCATGCTCAAGAAAATGGACATGTTTCCTTTGGCAGAAAGGTACTGAACCGTTATAATCCGATCAATGCAAATGTATCTAACTTATTAAAACATGTCTGCAATTAGCAATCATATCCTTTTATTTTTCAGGATGTTCTGTCGAGCTATGTCAATCAGCCGAGAGGATAGTCTGCTCTGGCATGATCTAGCATCAACCAATTTCTGGCATGCTATGGCAATTCCTCCATCAAGCAAACGCAGTGATATTCTACAGCGCGCCATGACAGCCGCACGTCGTGCCGTCAGCCTCAATTCTAAGAACTCCCTTCATTGGAATTTGCTGGGCGTAATAGCAGCATCAGAAGGTACCGCTTTTAACATTTCAGTAAATACTCTTTACAGAAATCTTTATTTTCTGTTTATTTTATAGTTTTGAAGGTACCTAATTTAAGCTTGTGTTTTTTCCCCTAGAAATAAAACAGAGAGCAGTTGCTCAGCATGCTTTTATCCAATCGATCCTTCTGGATAATAGCAGTCCAATTCCCTGGACAAACCTCGGCACCTTGTATTTAATTCTTGGTGACATAACACTATCAAATAAAGCCTTTAGTGCAGCCCAAAGAGTAGATCATGACTACACTAGGTGCTGGGTTGGCCAGGTAATCAGCAAAAAATTGTTTTGTAATTCACATTATAGTGGGCCATAGCGGGTTTAACCACTTATCTCTTAGATTGAACTTAAAGAACAAATCTATTGTGAGTCTTTGTGTTCACAGGCTATGATTGCTGAAGCATTAAACCATCATGAAACCATGGATCTATTTAGACATGCAGCATCTTTAGAATATCACCATGAAAGTTGTTCTGGCTATGCTCACTGGGTTTTGACAAATTTGCTTGACAAAGAAAAAGTTGCAAATATTGAAACAGCTGAACAAAATATGACTCTTAAAGATATGAAGAATATGTTTGCTATTGAAGTAGCATCTGATTGTATGAAGTGGTACACAGGTAAAAATGCCCAAAGTGCACCAATGAAAAGTGACTCTCGAGAGCGTTTATTCATGCTTTATATTTCACCTTTGTCACCTCAGAACGGCATCAAACAGACCCCTGTGGCTGGAATATGTTAGGGCTGCTGCTAGAAAGACAAAACATGTTCCGAAGTGCTCAAACAGCGTTCCAAAAGGGCTTTGAAGAGGCTCTGTTACTAGGTGCTGATTCTCAACACTTGGATGCGATACGTTGTAATCTTGGTCGAGTTCTAACGAATTTGCTAGACTATGATCAAGCCATCAATACTCTCCAAAAAGTCAATGCTCCTACATTTGCATCTCAGTCAGCCTTAGCTTTGGCTCTGTTTAAGGGTAGGCCTTCTTATTTTACTCATTTCTAATTTGAAGATAGGCTTGAGCTGAGAGATGCAGAAATCCTAAGATCTGCAAAAAGAGTAAGCTCCCAAAGTAAAATTTTGTTTCTGAATTTCCAGCTCAAAAATTTGAGGAGGCTTATGAAACATATAATGGGGCACTGGAATGGCTGGCTCCTGATGAAGAAACCAAAGCCTTTATTCTTATGGCTATGGCGGCTATGCAGTATAGTTTCAACCAGGTGGACCAATGCAAAACATTGCTGTTTCAAAGGTACAATTAACAGTTCTTATTGGGGTTTATTTTTGTTATTTAAAAATGTAACAACCATGTCAAATGTATGGTGCAAGCCAACTCATGTTTTTCTTTTGTGCAGTGTAATGTTAATTTTATCTTAACTTATTTGCAGCATTCAGCCCACACCTTTGTCAGCTCATCCATTGTTGGCTCTTTGTGCTATTGGTTTATTACATCAAGACATTGCCATGTCCAAAATCATGCTCAAGGAACTTGCGCGGTTCAAAGATGACCCAAGGTATCTGACACACATTGGACTACTAGCTGCATATACTTCATTCCTTCAGGTATGGTTACTGCCACAACCTTAAACGCAAACATTTAGGGTCCTTGGCTGAACTTTATCTTTTCTCTCAAACAAATAGGGTGACCAGAAGGGAGCAATACGAGCTCTGGCTAAAGCAGTGCACAGACACCCAGGAGAAGGGTCCTTGTGGCTTTCCCTGGCTCAAGTGCAAATGCATGCTTATCCCAAGTGTGATGCGATGGCTATCGGGCGCACTGCTGATGCTGCCTTATTTTTAGGAAGGTCCCACATGGATATTTCCAAGGTAATAATGCTGTTCCAAATTTGGACTGATGTAACAATTGTTTTTAACGAGTGACCAGAAAAACATTTTTAACGGGTATTTATATTTTCATAGGTTCAAGCGCTTGTCAGCGTAGCACATTTACTTCTAGGTGATGGCGTACCAGCTGCACTAAGTTCTCAGAAGGCAGTCCACCAGTACCCTAACGTTGCGGAGAACTGGTCGACTTTAGTAGCATCTGTGCTGCCGCAAAATAAGAGCCTAGAGCACGCAGCGCGCCTGAGAGACATCATCAGCCATGTTCGCCGAAGACTGCAACCCTCGGCAGGTGGCCTCAAGAAATGGCTTGGCAATTGTGAACACCACCTAACCAGTCTGGCCCCTGAGTAAAGTTTGGTTGTGATTTTTTTAAAATCTTGTATTTAATATTTGTTAAGATTTTTTTTCTTGTTGACTGCGGACAGTGTATTAAAACAAACAAAAGTATAAAACGGAGAGTTTACTTGAATTTAAACACTCATTTCTTGAAGAAGAGATTGGAGCAGGTGGCATACTTTGGGGGAGAGGGCAGTACGTCTGCATGAGAGGGAGGAGAACTGCCTGGAAATCAGGTCAGTGGTGACAATGCAGCCCGAAGAAGACTCGCAGGGCATTGCCTATATAGTGCCGAGCGTGCTGTGTATGCAGCCTGCAGCCGGACTGCGACGGGGCGGCCGGGTTGAACGCACCGTGCATGCCTGCGCTGCACTTTTGCGACACCCTCGAAACGGATTGAACCCAGAAAAACGCAGCCGCCACGGGGAAAGATCGCCGCGCGAAGCAAAAGGCATCACCACCATGAACAGGCGGTGGACGGTGGGTTGCCTGCCTTTCCGGCGCTTGCTACAGCGATTCCAGTTTTTCGCCTCGAAATAGTGTCGCGAGTCATTAGCGGTATTCTTTTTCTGTCATTGAAAAGGCTAAAGGGTTTTCGTCATCGGTGGTGATGCCCCTTGGGGCATCCCCGCACCGCCGTGGCGGCGCCAACACCTTGTCCTCGCAACGCCTGCAGACTGATTCCGAAGGACCGATGCGTCGCTGCGTCTCTCTCGCACCCACACGGGACGCCCCATGAGTGCGAGAGAGAGAGAGAGAGAGTGAGAGAGACGAGACGATCCTTGGGAATCCAGGGAATGAGTCGGGGGGCCCGCGGCCGCGGCTCGGCCGGCGTGCGCACTCGGCGGCACGCGCGCCCTGGACAAGTCTGCGGTGCCAGCGGTTTCAACCTTGGCACCTCGGCGCGGGCGTGTGCTGGGTACCGGGCAGGCGGGCCAGCCAGGCCCACTTGGCGCGTTTGGCGTTTGGCGGGGAGATGCGCGAAGCGAAGCGCGGGGGCCGCGTGCGGAAAGTGCCTCCGTCGCCTCGCGCTCCGGACGCGGCCCGCGACGCGGACGCGGCGCCGTCGCCATCGCCCACCTCGGAGTCGCGGAGAGTCTCGGAGTCCGGCGAGTCAGTCACCAGACAGTCCGCCCCGCAGCAACAGTGTTCCCGCCGTCTGCGAGGCGACCCCGACCAGCGTCACACGCAGGTGCGTACGCACGCACACAGTGGGCCAGGAGACCGGTGGAGGCAGGCAAAATTCTAGACGCGATTTGAGCTCCAGAGTCGCCGAATATGACTCGAACCGAACGTGTGACCCCACCAATGGATTGCTCGCTGAACGAGGAATCCACTGGTGGGGTCACACAATCAGTTCGACTCCCATCTAGCGACTCTGGAGCTCAAAACGCGTTCAGAGTTTCGGCCGCCACAAAAGTGCCTCCCCTGGGCGACGGCGTTTGAACGAGCGCTTCCTTGCAGAGACCAGCAATGGCGTCCTACCGGGTGGCCGCCGCTGCCGCCGCCCTGGCCGCGGCCTTCCTGTGCTGCCTCACGGTGTCCTCGGCCGCGCCGAGCGAGACGACGACGGCCTGCCCGTCCAACATCACGCCCGCCAAGCCGGGCGCCGGCGCGTCGCCCTCCAAGGGCGGCACCTACACCACCAAGTACGACAACGTCAACGTCGACATGATCCTGCACAACGAGCGCCTGCTCAAGAACTACATCGACTGCCTGATGGAGCGCAGGACGTGCTCGCGCGAGGGGCAGCTGCTCAAGGGTGAGTTCAGTGTTCGTGGCTCTATGGTGCGCGAGGGGCAGACAGGCAACCCAACGGACAGCTGCAGTGGGCCAGAAGACCGGTGGAGGCGGCCAAAATCCCGGACGCGTTTTGAGCTCTACAGTCGCCAAAAGGGACTTGAAACGAACGTGTGACTCCACCAATGGATTCCTCGTTCGGAGAGCAATCCATTGGTGGGGTCGTACGTTCATTTCGAGTCCCTTTTGGCGACTCTGGAGCTCCAAACGCGTCCGGGATTCTGACCGCCTCCACCACACTGTGAGCTGTACGCGCTGGGCGGTGGTTGCCTATCCCTGCTTTCGCAGGCGTTCGCGTGGCGCAGGCGGCAGCGCCGTTGGCTGGGCTTTTGATCCAGCCAGTCGCGGCCAATTCGCTACACTGACTCCGGCATTTAAAAATAAATCGTTCCTGGTGTGAGTTTCCACGACGGGTCCCCGGGAAGTGTCGGTCCGGTTCCAGGCCAACTCGAATGACCTTGATCGGGATGAACCTCCAGTAGTCGGAGGCACCGCCCGCCAGCCCACCCGCCAGGCCCCGGGATCCTGGCCAAATAACAAATAAGAAGACCGCGCGTCCTTCGAGATGAGTGTCGCGAAGCACTTGAGAACGCGCAAGGAAGAATAAACTCCTCCGGAACTCGGAACACACGCGCAGTGGTGCCACACGAGCCGCGACGAAAAGTCCCACGACGCACCAATGTCGAGTGGGTTGCCAACCTCAGCCTGGCCGCCAGGCTAATATCGGCTTGGCCCTGCAGGCTGAGGTTGGCAACCCTTTCGACGCCGGTCCATCGTGGGAAGTCCGTGGCCACACTGCGCGTGCGGCTGCACTGGCGTGGCGGCGCACTCTGCTCAAGGCGAAGGACGCACAGTGGGCCAGAAGACCGGTGGAGGCGGCCAAAACTCTAGGCGCGTTTTGAGCTCCAGAGCCGCTAAGTGGGACTCGAACCGAACGTGTGACCCCACCAATGGATTCCTCGTTCGGAGAGCAATCCATTGGTGGGGTCACACGTTCGGTTCGAGTCCCATTAAGCGACTCTGGAGCTCAAAACGCGTCTAGAGTTTTGGCCGCCTCCACCGGTCTTCTGGCCCACTGTGGGACGCTCTGAGAGAGCCAGCTAGCGGTAGAGGTGGATGGGACGGGAACGGTTGACGAGATCTTTGCCAGGGCCGCGTGAATTTTGTGGGATGAACCTCCGCCGTGGCCTCCTCGGGAGACAAAGCCGAACAGATGAATTTGCATCAAGTGTTTGGGAAGAAGTCACGAAGTGTCTGCGGCGCGCTGCACAGTGGGCCAGAAGACCGGTGGAGGCGGCCGAAACTCTACACGCGTTTTGAGCTCCTGAGTCGCTAAACTGAACCCGAACCGAGCGTGTGACCCCTTCAATGGATTGCTCTCCGAACGAGGAATCCATTGGTGGGGTCACACGTTCGGTTCGAGTCCCATTTAGCGACTCTGGAGCTCGAAACGCGTCTAGAGTTTTGACCGCCTCCACCGGTCTTCTGGCCCACTGTGCGCTGCGCGCTGAGGCGCCAAAGTGACATTGAAAGTGGCGTTACCGGCGTCACTCCGTCTGCTGTTCGAGCGGCACGACGAAGATGAATCAAATACTCGTTAGTGGTTTTACGACTGACCGCCACACTGTCTTCATGTTGCAGAGATCATTCCCGACGCGCTGCAGACCGAGTGCTCGCGCTGCTCCGAGAAGCAGAAGCAGATCGCCGGCCACATCATGTCCTACCTGCTGCAGTACAAGAAGCACTACTGGGACGAGCTGCTCTGCAAGTACGACCCCGAGGGCAAGTTCCGCGAGAAGTACGAGGTCGACGAGGATGACGAGGAGGACGATGAATGAAGAGCTCTGGTCCCTCCTGGTCCCTCCCACCGCTCGCTCACTTTTCGTCGCCAACCGGTGCCTGTGATAAACTAAGAAAATAAACCACTTTTGTACCATATGACGTAGGATAAAAATAAATAAAATAGTATGTATTGATAGCGATTCTCTGGCTGCTCCCTTATTTACCCTGGAAAATCCCTGCCCGGAAAACCAAGATCTTTTTTTTTTTTTTTGCGCGCGCGCAACGCCGACGCACTAACTCCAACTTTAAAAACTTCTTGCACACACAAAAAAAGGAGAATCTTGAAATAATTGGTCAGACTGTTTAGATACCACCAACCGAAGCCGCAGGCATTGCTGCGTTCCGCTTGCCAAATGCACTCAGCATCAATTTTACAAACAGTCAACTCTTTCGACGCCGCGCTTAATAGTGCGCCCAATTGTAATCTTGTCATGACAGGCCATGTTTGGCACCACTACTTTCATTGTTCGAAATAAACTTTTGAAATAAAGTTCTAGTTCTAACTCGTACCGCAGTCGTGGTTTGGCGATCTATAACTTCAAGTTTCAAATTAGCGTCGGATGGTCTAAATCCTCGGGGATGATGCCAAATGGGTTGCCTACCTGCTCGGCGCGCCTCTGACTCACCCGTGCGTCAAATGGGTTGCCTGTCTACCCGGCGCGAGCGTGCGCGAAATGAGTTGCCTGCCTGCACGGCGCGCCTCAGGACCGGCACCGGGCGTGCGCGAAAGGGGTTGCCTGCCTACCCGGCGGCGTTCCAGAAGAAACGCGAAGAAATATGCTTCCCCGACACGAATGGTGCAATCGTTCGTGCATCGCGATTATTATTTGGTGCCGTCGCAACGCGAACCCGCCACAAAGCGTCCAGAGCGCTTCACCCCGTCACAAGGGGCTGTGCTTCGCTTGCTTCGCTTGCTTCGCTTGCTTCGCTTGCTTCGCTTGCTTCGCTTGCTTCCCTTGCCTTGCTTTGCTGCGCACTTGTTGCCGCGTGGGCGGGCGGGCTTGGCGGGCTGCTCGCATTGCGATTGCACTGCCACTGCACTGTGATTGCATTGTGATTGCATTGTGCATCCGGGCCGGCGCCTAGCACTCCACACTGCGTTTCTCTCTACTTTTTTTTTTCGTTATTTTCGGAAAGTTTCAGCGCGCGAAATTACTTGAAGGGACGTCGACCTTTCATGGAGAGATGTAATCTGAGTTCGGCAATGCGGCGCTGCAAGAGCGCGTGGCGGGGCGGGGCGGGGCGGGGCGGGGCGGTCAAGGGAAGCCGAGCCGCCGATTTGCCGAAACACAATTGCATTCGGCATGACCTTTGAGTTGTCATTATTCAGACGCGGCTCGCGTTTCGAGCTTTCGGGCGCGCGCATCCGCCGCCACGGGTGCGAGAGAGAGAGAGAGAGAGAGAGAGCGATATAGGGAGCTAATGGGCTATGAATGGGCATTGAATGCAGCGCGCACCACGCGCCGAGCTAGACACTGGTACACTGCCAGAAACCGCAGAAACTGCAGAAACGGACAGAGGAGTGGCAGGGATTACCGGAAGCCGTCTCTCTCTCTCTCTCTCTCTCTCTCTCTCTCTCTCTCTCTCTCTCTCTCTCTCTCTCTCTCGCACTCCTGCGGGACGCCCCAAGGAGCGCGAGGGAGAGAGACGCAGGTGTCGGCGCGTGGATGACCGCGCCTTCTAATGCTCCGCGTACGACTTGCACGACGCAGGGCTGGCCAAGGTGGCCGGGCGTTAGACCGGATGCCACCCTGCCGGGCCCTGTGGGAAAGTCTCACCCTCAGTTCTCACGCCCGCCAACCGCACAGGCCCAAAAGGCCCAAAAGGCCCAAAAGCCGAAAGGAAAAAGAGCAAAGCCAAAAAGTGCAGCAACACGCGGCTAATTTGAACCGCCACACTCGCAGAAATGACGACAACGAGTCGGCCGCCCTTTGGTGCACCCGCTGGTCAACTGCTGGCTTTTTCCAGAAGTTTGGCTTACCTGGAGATCACCTCGGCGACCATCCGAACCGACGCGCGTCGCGCTGCTGCAGATTTTTGTCTCCAAGATCAACGGGTGACGTCTCAGCAAAGGCCTTATACTTAAAATTTGGACTTGTGCCACATTTCGATTACGGCTCGGAAAGAAAACCATCAACAACAAGATGGGGCCACCGGCCACCGACACGCCGCCAGGCCCAGAGGCCTGGCACAGTGGGCCAGAAGACCGGTGGAGGTGGCCAAAACTCTGGACGCGTTTTGAGCTCCAGAGTCGCTAAACAGGCCTCGAAACGAACGTGTGACCCCACCAGTGGATTCCTCGTTCGGAGAGCAATCCATTGGTGGGGTCACACGTTCGGTTCGAGTCCCATTCAGCGACTCTGGAGCTCAAAACGCGTCGAGAGTTTTGGCCGCCTCCGCCGGCTTCTGGCCCACTGTGCCTGGCCGGCACGCGACCCGGCGAGCGGCCCAGCCGCCCGGCCGCGCCGCCTCCCCGCCACTCCACTCCACTCCACTGCAAGACGGCCGCCGCCGGTGGCGTCCATGGCGTCCGTGGCGTCGTTGCACCTGCCTGCCAGTGCCAGGCCTGCCGCGCCGCCGCACTGCCCAGCGGGCCCAGCCAGGGCCCAGGATGTCGAACAGTTCCGTCGCTCTCTCTCTCTCTCTCTCTCTCTCTCTCTCTCTCGCTCTCTCCTGCACCCCTACGGCACGCCCCATGAGTGCGACAGGGGCAGGGCGACGGGACGACTCTTCGGAGTCAGTCCGCAGGGCAGCCAGGCCGCACCTGTGGTCCGCCGCGGCCGCTTCGATAGTCTCGTTTCAACACTTTGGCGCGCTTTCCACAGTGCTGCAAAGCCAGTGTCCCCTGCCGGACACAGGGCTCGAACCGAACGTGTGACCCCACCAATGGATTACTCGTCCGCAGAGCAATCCATTGGTGGGGTCACACGTTCGTTTCGAGTCCTGCTTAGCGACTCTGGAGCCCAGAGCGGCCAAACGCAACAAACTGCAACGGAAGCCGGTGAGCTGGAGGCGCTGGAGGCAAGAAGCACACGGTAGCGCGGAGTCATTCATGCCCGGAGGATTTGCACTGCGCTGCGGATCTGCGGATGCCCACGGCATCTCTGTCGCTCTCGCGAGCAGCCCCTGAGCGTGCGAGAGAGACAGAGCGACGCAACGCGGTGCAGTGTCGGAGTCACTGGTCCGTGCTCCGTCTTTGTGAGCGTGACGGGCACGAGGCACGGCCAGCACGGCCGGGGGACTGAGTCGTTGTCGTCGCTCTGTCTCTCTCGCACTCACGGGGCGCTCCGTGTCGGTGCGAGAGAGACAGAGCGAGGACAACGACTCAGTCTGGCCGGTCAAAGGGTGCAGCCTGCAGGCAAATGAACACGTCGACGTGGTGTGAGCCTTACACTGTAAGGTGGGTGGGCCGCCGCGGCCGCCACACCGCATTGTTGGCAACGCCACAAAAAGGAGGCGGCCATTCAGCGGGCAGGGCCGCACAGTGGGCCAGAAGACTGGTGGAGGCGGCCAAAACTCTAGGCGCGTTTTGAGCTGCAGAGTCGCTGAACGGGACTCGAACCGAGCGTGTGTCCCCACCAATGGATTCCTCGTTCGGAGAGCAATCCGTTGGTGGGGTCACACGTTCGGTTCGAGTCCCGTTTAGCGACTCTGCAGCTCAAAACGCGAATTTTGTCCGCCTCCACCGGTCTTCTGGCGCACTGTGTGATGGTCGAAATACAGTCCCTGGTGCCCATGCTGGTGCCTCGCTAAGCCTTTCCCACTCGCTGCCCAAATAAAGCAAAAAGCGCAGCAATCCGACACTGTGCCCACCGTGCAAAGCTTGCCCACCCCGCGCGCCCAAGTCTCCGACGCGTCCGACAAGGGTGCGTCCTCGCATGCGATTCTCCTCGCTGGCAGTGTGCTGGCAGTGGGTCGCCCCGCCCGCCACCACACTGCCGTGAAACACGACCCTTCAACCCTTTGGGTGTCCCTTTGGGTGGTGTCCCTTTTCGCGCCTTTTCGTGTTTGCAGTGCACTCGCAGCCCAGCTTCTTCACACTCGCGCGAGCCCAACTTTCGGCCACACACTAGTAGACACACCAGCAAAAGTGTAGAAAAAGTAAAAAGCTTGGCGAAACCTAAAATAATAAAACGATCTCCGCGCGACAGGTGCGTTGGCAGGCGTGCGAAAACGCCGGCGCCATTTCCCACGACGTTGGCACCCCTGCTAATGAGAGCGGGAAATACATTCCGATTCGCCAAATCGGCACGCTTGTGGAACGCGTCTCTCTCTCTCTCTCTCTCTCTCTCTCTCTTCTCTCCTCCCTCCTCTCTCTCTCTCTCCTCTCTCTCTCTCTCTCCCTCCGGCGCCGCGGCGCGTGGCAAGGACCCCGTGGGAAGAAGACGGGACGCGCGGGGCGTGACCGCGACCACGCGCCGGGGCGGGGCGGGGCGGGGCGGGCGCGGGGCGGCGGGGCGATGCAGTTGTTGCGGCAGTACACAATCATTTTCGGCGGCGCCGTTTAGGGGGCCCTATTGTTGGTGGTGGGGTGTGCGCGCGCTTTTCCAGGAACTCTCACTGTGTGTGTGTGTGTGTGTGTGTGTGTGTGTGTGTGTGTGTGTGTGTTCGCGCGCCTTCCAAGACAACCACGCGACCAAATTGCACCATAACGTGGCCGCCCTCCTTGTTGGGCCCTTCGAAAAGTATTCAGTAATAAAGCGATAAGCTGCAACGCCAAAACCTCTTTCGGCAGAAAATCGCGGAAAATAAAACTAATTGTGTAATGGCACGGCAGGGCGCCACCGATTGGTTAGGCCTTGGGAGATTTTCGGGCGGGCTGTGCCGGGCTGGGTGCTTATGCCCCGCGCGCACAGTGGGCCGGAAGACCGGCGCTGGCGGCCAAAATCCTATACGCGTTTTGGACTCGAGAGTCGCTAAATGGGGCTCGAACCGAACGTGTGACCCCACCAATGGATTGCTCTCCGAACGAGGGATCCATTGGTGGGGTTACACGATCGGTTCAGTCCCATTTAGCAACGACAACGAACCAAGCACAAAAAAAAAACACGAAAAAATTACGAGGGATTTGAGAGCGCGCGACAGCGATAATCGTTGCCGAAAGGATAGCCAGGATATCGGGGGATAGATCGGGAGGACGG